GTCAGAGAAAGATGTTGACCTATAGTAGGCTAAGTATCTACGTTTCTGCTTCTTGGTTTACTTAGATGAAACTGGTATTGTAGTAGGATTTTACCTGCACACCAACAAGTGCACAAAATTCTTCAAATGAAATTCTTTCCATATGTCTCTCATTATCTTGTTCAAAGTACTTGGTCAGACCAACTTAAGTGTCACAGAAGGGGGTGAAATTGGGGAAACAGGGAGACAGAGTTCTGTTCTATGTCTGAAAGGTTTTCCTTTGTAAGAGCAAGCCAGGACCAAGTAAATAAAGTGAAAACTTCAAGTAATATTTGTGACAACATATGCACAGGAAACCTTGGTTGATTTATTTGAAACAACTAGTGTTTTGCAATCTAAATACTCTAGTATTTCACAATAACATAACATCAAGGAAATAAAACTATCAAAACAATGCTGCATCTCAAAATGAAATATTTTTCCACCTTGTTAGGAACCTCCTTTTTTACAATGGAGGCATATCATGCCTGCTTCTTTACAGTCTCTTAAGAACAGGTTGGGTACCAACCTGTATTGGTAATAGCATTCAAAGTGCTGATCCTGCAGCAAGGCAAGAGAATTGGGGAAAATGACTGCCTGATGTCAGGGTGCTGAGGGGATGGGGCCTCCCCAGGGGTGGCAGCACAAGGTCTATCCCACTCTCTCAATCAGAAAGCAGGTGGAGACAGCCCCAGCTCTGGGCACTGAGCACCTCCCTGGGGACAGGACTGGGCTGAGGAAGGGCTGAAACACTGGCCCTTGGGTAGAAGTCAGCACCAGGCAGTCTCAGTAAGTATGAGGCCATCAAAGTAGTCCATGGGAATTGGAGGGGTGGGAAAATCCTCTTTTTCTACCAGAACTTCTGTAAGCCACATCCTTACTTTTGTCTTCTCTGTTTATGTTCTCTGTGTCTTTGCAGTTTATGATGCTGGTGTGCAGGCACTTGTTCCAGGGAAGAGACTCAGCTGGTAATTTTGTTGTCATCAACAGGATGACTCAGGAAAGACCTTACAGAAAATTTATTCAATTGTCCAATATCCCTGAACTTTTTAACATATGCTGAGTAAATACTGGGTAAGTTCCTCCCAGCAATGCATTATCTGGGTGTAGGATTTTCAGATTGCCCTTGCTACCATTATGTCCAAATATTTTCTGGGAGACATTCATCTACCAGACCAGCATGTCAAGGCTGGTTTGTTCTTTATCTCTCTCTCTGGAAGAAAAGAAAGCTCTCTGTTATATGCCTACTGCCACTCTCAGTGTCATCTACAAATACCTACTGAGCAAAACTTTTTTCAGAGTACTAAACACTCACTGGAGAGCAAGAAAATGAGTCTGTATTTAATCAGTGGTAAGCCATGGGAGGTGGCAAATGTGCCTATTCCTCAACCAAGAGATGTTTAAATGCTCTTGCAGACTGCAACAGTATAAAAGGAGATAATCCTCCAACCTGCTGTTTAGAAATTCTTCTAAGCTGGGTGTTGGTACAGAAGTTCCGTGAGGTGGAAAGAACTGAACACAGATTTCTCACATCCTGATAAAAGATTCCAGAAGTCATACCATCTGCCCAGGAAGTGTTAGGTATCTAGTCTTTAACATCTTAACAAATATCTTATCAAAATAGGATCCTATTTTTAGGTGTTTGCAGAAAACATGTATTGAGCAGAAAACTACCAGACAGAGAAATGCTGTGAGAGGCCCTTTTTATGCCATATGATCATGGTATATGCTCACAATCTTGGCTGCTGAGAACAAATGCTTCTTTAATATGACGGGATCTAAACCAAATTTCCTTTTCCCAACCCTTCCTAATCATCAAATCCAAAAGGATTTAGGCTCTGAGTGGAAAGATGAAGAGCTCTTCATTTTTCTCTTTGAAGCTGTCCCATTTTGAAAAGAATAATTATATATTCTTTTGACAGAGAGACTAAGGGCACCAGATTGCATATTGCTCTCTAGACTGCTAGTTAGCTCATTAACCTGGATATGGGGAGAGCTCAGTATGGTAGCACCCATGTGATTTTACATTATTTTATTGCACAATAACTGTTGTAGTATTTTTTCTCTTATTATTTTGATTTAGGAACTAGGTTCTGTTCCCACCTCTGCAGTATGTAGTTTCTCAGTTATGCCTCAGGAAAATAAGGATAGTGGTGCAGGCATCTGTCATAACACTGGAGTATATTTTGGTTATTAATAAAGGATATAAAAGCACACAGAATGGCAGCCAATAAATCTATCTTTAAAAATCTATCAATAAAAATATCCATCTTTAAAATAAATATCTTTTCAATATCCATATATTTTCCAGTGTTGACAGTTATATTTGGGGTGAGAACATAAGATTTTTTGAGTTTGGTTTCTTTTTCCCCTGAAGCTTTATATCTGTAAATATCATCAACGTGTTCAGCAAAGTGGTGGATTTAAATCTGTGAATGGAGAATCAAACACTTAAAAAGTTTATAAGCAAATAGTGGTTTCCAGTTTACTCCAAATAGAAAGGAAACAGGGAAACAATTTCCCCAGTCCAATTTCCCAGTACTTGATTTTTCTCAATCTTTTCCTTATTAAGCGGTACTTCTTAGATCAGACTTACTAAATAGAACAAAATGTTATTTCTTTAATAATTAAATTAATTCCCAGTGTCATAACACAGGAAATGACAATAGGAATCAAAGTAGTAAAATTAAACACAGGAGCCTTAATCACAGTTTCTGTATGATAAGGGCTACTTGAACTCCATCTATAATTATAAAGGAAAGTTTGACTGATAAGTCTATTACTTAACTATTCATAATGACAGGAAGCCCTCAAAAATAGCTGACATAAATGGTCAAAAGTACAGTGAAGTATCATCCTTTAAAAAGTAGTATTTGAAGCAGAAAATATAGTAATAGAAAGGAAGCCTGTAAATTCTTAAATTTTCACAATAGGATGAAGAATGTTCCAGCATGCTCCTGTCCCCAAGGAGATGGTGGATGTCAGGACTGCCCCCCTTCCCTTCCCCTGGAAACTGGTGTAAGAAAAATATAGTACCTCACATATAAACCTCAGCCATTTCATTTCAACTTAGCTGTGATCGATCTAATGCAAATGTGTACCTGGAGTGCCAAGAAGCAGATTTATCTTTTGTTTTGGGGGTTTTGTTTACTTGTTTGTTTAATTTTTAACAGATCATTTCAAGCAGCTCAGTGAGGTTTAATGATATTATTACAAGGCATATTGCATTCTCCCCCTAGATTATATTAATTACCTATCTTGAACTTCCAGCACACTGTCTCTCTTCTCTTTCTTTGTTTACAGCCAGAATATAAATCAAACAGAGCCTCTCTCAAAAACTGAATGGCTGTGAGCTCCAAGGGCATCATTTAGCCTCATATCCAGGGGGTTGAGCAGAAGAATGTTTGCTTGCATACTTTTTTTTTTTTTTTTAATATAACATAAGCCACAACAAATATATTGCTCTCATGGTGAAATCTTTCTCCTTTCATGATATTTATGATCCTGAACAAAACACTATTTAAGTATCAATTAATGTTGTCTGTGAGACTAGGAAGAGCAGAGAACATTCTCTCTTCCTCTCTTTTTCTTCTTCACATAGGAGCAGTGCTACACCACTGCTTTTCCATCAGTATCCCATAATGTTTCAGCCCTAAATTATTCTGATACCTGGTTAGAAAAGCTGTAGTGATGGGGGTGGAATTACTAGACAATTTTGACATCAAGCTTCATCTAATATTTTTTTCAGATTATTCTCAACAAATGGGAATACCCTCCCTCCCCTGAGGTGAATGTGCAAACCATTCAGGAGACTGCTTTTACACTCCAAGTATATTAAAAAAGATGACAGAAAACATCTTTCAGACAAGTCTGGAATGAGATACTGTTCTAAGGATCTGTCTGTTACCTTCCAGAGAAAAACTTTTGAAACATCCACAAGGTTGAGGTTGATATTTTCTTTGCTTGTTTTGCTCACATTTTCAATACACAACTAGGGCAGTGTAAGACTCTGTCCCATGAATTTTTAGTTGCCTGAAATTCTGCATAATAAAAACATGAATCGGTCCTTCCAGGACTGCATTTCTGTCTTTGTCTTAATAGAAAACCTAAACATTTACACCACTTAATATCTTGTGTTATTTTGCTTTCAGACAAAAACATCAGAAATGTCTGTTTCACACTGACACATAGCCATGTCCAAACTTCCAAATTTCCATACTGGATTGTGTAGCTTTCTTAAAAGCAAAGCCAGTGAAGTTTCCTTTTTTCTGATGTCAAATAATTTTATCGCAGGCTGCTCTTGCTTAAAAATGTATGAAGGAGGAAACGAAGACTTCCTTTTCCTCTCCTTCAGATCACTGCAACTTGGGCCACTGCCTTTAATCGAATTAGGCTCTGATGCATACAAAACACAGATCAGTTTTGCAACCTAAATGTTTGGATCCAAGACTTCTAAAACTTAAAGTTGGTTTGGTTACACTCCCTTTATCATGTACTGGTAAGGCTTTGTCATACAATACATTGCTCTCCAGAGTTAGTGCAAGTCAAAGATGAGTTACCCAAAATATGCTTCTAAGTTGAGCATCAGATGAACTTTAATCTTTGAAGTGCATGTATTTGAAAGCATTCTCTTTTCTTGAATGTTTGACTTAACTGTTTTTTCCATATTATATGATATAGATCAGTATTTTAGAATATATTCACCCAATTGTCTAAGTCTCTCTTCCACAAGAATGGTAAACATTATCTGAATCCTGTTTACAATTTTTGATTATCTTCTGCTTGCCTAAAGTGGTTTCCATCCAGAGGACACTTTAATTGGTGCTGACACAGTGAAGGAGAAAGCTTTAGCACAGCATCTTTCATCTTGACTCAGCAAGATTTCCAGTAGTTGCATTTATACAGTTTTTTGACAAGATGCTTCCTAAGTGAAGCGTTTGCCTTTTGGAGAGCTACACCCACAGAGATTTCATTTTCCTTGATGTCTGTCAATATAATGAACTTTATTAACAAATTCAAATTCAAAAACAATTTCAGTTCAAGAAAACTGTCCAAGTTAGTTCTTGCTTATTTCTTACATATGAGGATATCTACAAAAACACAGATGCTCAACAATGGATTGTAATGGCTGCGTATATTTGTTTATATATATATATATGTGTCCATTTTTTAGAGACAAAATAAAATGAAGGAGCTCTTTAAGAAGAACTTGATCTCTGATTTTAGGGATCAGTGCAAAGGACTTGACTCACAGTTTCAGAATTTGTCATAGCACAATATTATAATAAAGTCCTGCTGCCTGTCTTTTACATTACTGTAAATAGAATAGAATAAAAAACTTTCTACCATTTATAGACATCTGATGCCAAGTTTTTGCGATCAAATTGCAATAAATAAATGTATATCAAAGATGCTTACTTTGGACCCTACACCTTTGTATAGGTTTTAATTCACAAATCCAAATGCCATAAACTCGAGACTGGAACATGGAACAGTGGCAGGATATGATCGGCTTTCTCCAGGTAAGACATACAAATATTTAACAGCCTTGCAAAATTGCAATTGCAATTTATCAGCCTAGGAAGACTATCTATTTATCCACCCTTTACCCTGAGGAATGACACTACTTTAAAAAATAATCAAATCAAAACAAAACAAAACAAAACATTTCTATGAGCAGGTAACATTTGGGAAGCAAAAAAAGATGAGTTGTGTGCTTGGTGGTGAGTATAATGCATGAAGAAGAGGCTGAATTTAATTATTGAGTGCAAAACTCCATTCTACACTAAGGAACAAATCTAGTGCTGTAGTACCCTAACATGTCTTTCTACCATTTTGTTTACATTTACTGATAGGAGCTGTAAGAAAAAAATCCTGTGGATTTTTTTAACTTGTTCAAATTCCTAGAATTTGAACAAGTTATACACACACACATACACATGTAATCTCCCCCACAACTATACAGAGGCTATAATGCAGGAATCTTTACAAATTGTATTTATCTGTGTATTTTCATTTCACCTAATTTTCCAACAACACTAATGAAAAATTACTACACCTTGTCCCAGTAATTTAAGGATATGTTCATGGAAATACCTTCCCTTTATAGGCATGTTAACAAAAAATTGTTGGAAAAAAATTGGAATTTTATTTCAAGTAGTGAAATGTTTTAGTATTTCTAAGTTCTGGAAGAATCCATCTGGAAGAAACTAAAGTCTGATTCTGAAGAATTTTAACAGGCAAGCTGCTTAGAAATCTATTGCTACCCATCTAAATTAGGAAGTGAAAAAAATGATTCACAGACCTGATTCTATACTGTTATCTTTTATAAGACCCTTTCTTCTCTGCTTGAACTCTAATTTACTCCAAAAACAGTTATTCTCACAGGCAGCTTGTTCTATTATGCTCATAAATTGTAAATTTAAACATTAAGTATTGCTTCAGAGAACTAATTGAAGGATAGAACATTCTTATCCCTACAGCTGTGCACAGATTAACTCCTCCAAAGCTTAGCATGCCCCACCAGGAACATTACAGAACAACAGGACTGAGAGCCTTCCTTGTGCTTTCTCTCCGAGGCAAGTTTAAGTACACTTATATCATCCCTTACAGGTGTTTTTTGAACTGTCCTTGGAAACCTACAGCGAAGGAGATCCCAAAACCTTCCTCATCTCAGTTTTATGGGTATCAGTCTTTCCCCTTAATACCCAACCTAAATATTTCCTGATTACTTTCAGTTCACTGTTGGGTCCAATATGCAAATGAGAGTCCTTCAATATTTGCACCACCTTTGGAATCAATTGTGCTTTGCAGAGGAAGAGGCACACACACAGGCTGGTGTTTGAAGGCATTTACAGACCTGTCCCTGCAGGTGGGCACCCAGCAGCACGAGGCAATACATGGGAGATGCTGAACAAGGCAGTTTCAACGGGAGGTGGCCAGGTGCCCACTAAAACAAAGAAACAGGACAAACTGAGCCTCTGCACTGCCCAGTTTGCCCTTCTCTCAGGATAGAAGCTGTGTACTGGGTTTTAATGCGTCCCAAGGCTTGTTCCAGCAGATGTTAGTGCACCAAAACTCACAGTGAGCAAGGGAAATCAGCAAGAGCTACAGCTTTATCTCGAGAGCTCAGGCTGTACTACTTCAATTCTTCCTTTCCTTTGACAGTTCTGCATCCTACCACGACTCCCTCTAGGACTCTCCCAGTGAACTCAGAAGGATTTCTGTGTATATATGGACCAATGCTAATGGTATTTAACATTTAATAAAAACTAAAGAAAATTAACAAGTCTGTATGCTTATCACACTTGATGGAAAGAGTTCTGTTTTGGGAATGAATGATAGGACATGATACAAGTTAATATCTTTTTCAGAAAAAAATGGCATGCAAAATGTGAAGAGTTTCATTAAATAGAAAAACTTTGGCTGTTCATGAAACAGAAAGTAAAACCATTTCCTTTTCCTCCAAAAGGCTGGAAACAACCATAAATTACAATATATGTATTAAAAAGTTACTTAGAAACAAGTTTAAGAATGGCAAGGACTTTCTTGCTTTAAAAGCAGAAACAAGAATCTAGCAATCTCCTCTAAATGAAATATTTGTCACAAATTCCATCGCTTTTCTTCATAAAATAAATGAAGCCTGTAGGCAACTAAAAGGTCTGGTGCCTACAGCAGGAGGAACATTTCACTGTTGTATTTGCTCAAATCACTAGCTATTCAAGTTGTTTGGGAGATTTTTGGGTTGGGTTTTGTATAACACACATTTTTAAAAGGATCTCATGAAACGATTTGTCATTATACAAACGTGCTAGATGTGCACATTAAAGTGTTTAATGAACATATTTTTTTGTTTGGAGTATTAAATTAACAGCTTCAGGGCCTAGTCCACTAGGTGTACAAAGAACTCGTAGAATTTGATCAGGAATGTTTGATTCCCTATATATATTTGGATCCACAACAGGGTGGTTTTCATACAGGTGATTTACATACTCCTATCTAATAGAAAATGCCATTACAAAGAACAAAAAAAAAACAACCCAAAACCAACGAACAAAAATAAGAAACCCAAATTCTATTATGACATAGCAGTGACATCTCACAAATTCATCCCATAGCAGCATTGGTGGGGACAACAGAATTCCTTTATAACAGCATGATCCAAATCCCACTGCAAGCAATGAAACATTTTCTCTTGTTTTACTTAATATTGAATCATCAGTAAGAATTGGATTGAATTTGGCTAGGCATTGGCTGACAACAAGGTGTGCTCTCATCTGCTTTTGTTATTTGATGTACTAAAGTACAGTGGAGGGGAAAAAAAATCACAGCACAAAAAAAAAAAAAAAGAAAAAAATTTTACTAGATTTTTTACATTTAGTAAATGGTACTTAAACTCCATGGACATGAAAGTAGTTTTAAACTTTACTTTTGAAATTTTACTTTTTTCAATATTTCATAGAAAAGAAACGCTCTAAGATACTGTTTCAGACCACAGAATTATTACAGAACATAAAGATTATATGCAAGGGCTTAATCCTTTTCCCAGCAAAGATGGTGACCAACACCATTTTAACTCCAATGGGACAGGGGTCAGCTGAGAATGTGCCATGTTCCTAATTGGAAATCTCCTTTGTGATAAAAGAGTCTGGCATATACTTTGCCTTTGTAATTTGAATTCTATCAACAACTATTCCTAGCCACAAGAGAAATATTTTAGGCAATATATTTGTATAGTTTCACAAAACTATGTTAAAGAGAGATGTGTGGGTGTTTGTGTGTGTGTGTGTGTGTATGTATTTATGTATGTATGTATACATATTTATGAGCTTGGGATGATTTTCTTAAAATATTTAACTTCACTTACATTATATCTTACATTGCAAAATGTACAGACACCCAGTGTTCTTTTTAACAACATATACAGGTGAATTTATAGAGCCTTATAAAAGATTTTGTGATTCCAAATTAAAAACCATAGAAACATAACCAAAATAATGGAGAGTGATTTATACCTCTGATAGTACATAGCGCTCATTCGGGTAATATTGACAGCTGCATCTTTGGCATTGAAAATTCCTTACAACTTTTCAGACAAAATGTTGTTGCTTACAGCTTTTTTCTTTTCTTTTAAACAAGAAAAACAGGATTGACCAAAATATGAATTTTGGGGAAGTACTACTAAAGATTTATTTTATTTTTATTTTTAGCAAGGATAGCTTAGGAACCCTGAATTATCTTCTCACTTTAGTGTATGGTGTAGACTGTATGAATCCATTTAAAAATCAACTAAGTTGTACCACGTTTTTCGGAAAATTATATATAATATAATATATATATATTTTATATTTATTTAGAAGCTTTGAAATAGTACAGTAAACACTTTGCAACACGGTGTATAAACTACAGAAATGTCTTTGATAATTTTGTGGGTCTTCAGATTAACAACATTTTTATGACCCACAGGTGAAAAGAACATGATCACAATCTCTCTTGTAAAGTTGGAATAGTTTGGGGAACACTTGATCACACAAAAATAATATAAAACAGTCAAGTTTAAAACAGTGATATTGCATTTATAATGCACATCTCTTTTATCTGTACGATTGGCTTTTTGTGGTGAATATAAACATCTAAAGGGCTCAGTGACATTTTGGAGAGAGAAAGATATATAGTGCTGTAAACAGGCACACACTGATCAGAGAGGCAAGATCAGTTGCCTCTGAAGTTTCTACAGTTCTACACATTTCAACTCATTTCTCAGGCCTGCTGAGAGCAATTAGGTCCTATTGTTGGCCAGGATGTCTCCAACAGCACACAAATCCTTCAGTTACACAGAACTGGATGGCCAAGATAATGAAGTTGAAAGCTGATGCTTTTTGTTGGTCGACTTTCTTTTGTGCAAATCATGCTGCTTCAGGTAAGTCCTGTAGAAGTGACTAGCATATCCTTTTCCGTGCTGCAGGAAAGAAAGAAAAAACACTTCTGAGAGGAACAAAAATAAAAAAAAAAATCAGTCTCCAACAGTTCTTAGGTTTAGGATTTCTTAGGGTGTAGAAAAACAATCAAAACTTGCCACAGACTGACACTGGAAATTCCCTTTATAGCAAACAGTTTAATGGTGATTCACTTTTCAGAGAAAGCCTCTTTTTGAGGCTTGATAGCCTGAAAACCAAATTTCATAGGCTGTTTTATTATTCTGCCTAACATGTCAAATATTCCAGTGTGCCTGTACAGAATCAGTATAAGGATAAAGCAAATATTCAGTCTTACAGGTGAAACATTACTAAAATTACACAGGCTAATTTTTCCCTAGTTCAGCTTATTTTTTGAAGCAAGATCTAGAATTCCCCCGAAAATTCAGAAGCTAGTTTTCCTTCTCTTTCAAAGTGAACCATTATCCTCATCACAAAACGACCCTTCAGTCTGGTTTGACAGATGAAAAAATGGTGCATTAGTGCAACAATTCAAATTTCAGCATTTACTGTCAGGCTGAAAATTAACTCATGTTACACGGATGAAGACGGTCAATGCATTAGCAAAGCCATATCCTAATCCAACAGCTGCAGTAGCTATATTACCTCAAGACACTGGCTATTTTAACTGTAATTGGGAGCAAAAGTAACAAATGAAATGTACTAGCATTCAGGAATACCCTAGGTTAAATTCTGATTTCTGTCACGCATTAAAACAATGAACTAACTCACTTGCTCAAGTATTATAATTAGCATTAGCACCATTATTATCTGGTAAAGCTTGTAGAAATAAAATCAGGTGTTTAAATCAACTAAATCCCTACCTGAAATTCAGTCTGCTTCTCTGCATGAAGTTTTACAACTGAAACAAAAAGGAATCTTTCAAATGAATCTTTGAATCATGTACAGGTTGATGCTTGTGTGGTGACACATAAACACATCCAGTCTCCGTTCCATTTAACATAAATATATACATTAGCCATACTTATTTCCTATATATTCACTAGTAAAGGTATGAAATCTGGGTGCTGCATCACAGGGAAGTTGGATTACTTACAGGAAAATGTTACTGTGGATGTTGTATGTTTGTCTAATCTTGCCTGCCTATACTACAGGATAGAAAAATGTGAAAAACATTTCTGTATAAGCTATCTGTTCAACATAAGGAAAATTGTGAGATGTGTTGCTAAAATTAAAGCATCTAATAGATGAGGTTTTCAATGGTTCAGTTATGTAGCAAATTAGTAGCAGAATTAGAAAGAATTTTTAAAAGCTTCTGCAAGATGTTTTTTAAACAACGTTTTTACAAATAATGAGATCAGAACCTTCACGATGTTTTCATGCAGTAGATGATAAGATTAACCCAGTAACTAGATACCTTTTAAAGTATCTTTTTTGATATTACAAGAAACAATCATTCCAATAATAGTAGTAAAAATAACAAGACTTATATTGGATCTTTAAAACGTTTTTCCCAAAGTTCAGTCATAATTTCAGTTCTCTTGTAAATACTGAGGGATAGTTATCTAGATTGGTGTCTGCCACAGAGGAACTTGTGCTGCACTACAAACACAGCAGGACTTTGCTGGGATAAACAGAGATGCAGGTGGGGCAATCTGCTTTTATTGCAGCACCACCGCCCCACTCCCACCTGACACAGTGCCTTGGTGGTGCTGATGTGGTACCATCTTTCAGATAACACAGAGATTGAGTCACTGGCTGTGTTTGGCCTTTTGCTGTGTAAATTGATGCATTTTGAAATTTTTAATCTCCAGTTAACATGCTTATACTACAAAACAATCAAGCCCTGTTATAGAAATAACTAAATATTATGCATTAAGTTGCAAAGCTACTGCAACTCTCCACACCTACAAAAATTGTTGTAGCAAATCTTAAAATATCCTCTGCTAACACATAAAAAGCATTGGATTTTAAAAGCAGCTTTTGTGCTCCGTGTTAGTTTGGCTTTTTTTCTGGTTCTGCACAGAAATTTATGTGCAAGCAAATCTCTCCATGTCTCTATCAGTTTCCGTCTTTTTACAGATGGGGAATATAAATCAGAGAGGTTAAATGGAAAGGAGGATGGACTCAACTTAAAAAAGAGAGCAATGAAAGTTCTGACATCTGTTTCCGGTTCTGTGTGTGTGCATGCATGTGTGTTCATAAATAAACTTTTAAATAATAAACACTAAGCCTCTCTGTATCACAATTTCTCCATCTGTAAAATGGAAATAATATTGCTTACCTATCTCCTAGAGGTGCAGGAAGGTTTAAATCACTATTCTTTATAATCCACTTTGAGATCCAGAGATGGCAAGTGCTATAGAAATGGAAGTATCACAGTCAGTGTAAGAGCTGGAACAAGAACACCATAATTTCTGGTGCCTAATATCTCCTCTGAGATCACAGCTCTCTCTTTCATCCCTATTTTATTACCTGTTCCGAACTCTCAAACTAGTACATGGGGAAGCTTCAAGTCTGTGTGAATATGGGTAGTCAGAAAAAAGGCTTTAATAAAAAGCAGTTTCATAATTCTGATAATGTAATTATACTGATTTTACATATATTCTAATATTATTTCAGGTGAACAAGATGATTAAAGATTCACAAGCATTACAATTAAAATTCTTAAGGTACAGAATTTGTGCTGTACTGCTCCTTCCCAGAACAACAAAGATTTTGAGTGCTATGGAAGAGTACTTAATGCATAAAATTTGTATGGGATAAAATAAAATAAAATAAAATAAAATAAAATAAAATAAAATAAAATAAAATAAAATAAAATAAAATAAAATAAAATAAAATAAAATAAAATAAAATAAAATAAAGAGACCTGAAAAAAAAATATTAATATTCCTTTGTTGCTGAATACACCCTAATAAGCCTCCCATCCACAGTGAGTTAATTCTGTGTAGACTGCTAAGAGACAATGTATAAAGACATCAGTGGTAGTTGAACAGAAAAGTAAATTAAAAACACCAACATAATAAACAGGAAAGAGAAAGTAAGGTATGAAGTAAATATTCCTAGCTCATGGATCTGAAATGAACAGAAAATGCTGTAAAACCCTTGTCTCTTTAGCAAATCTTCCTTTCACCCTGTTGCATCCAAACTTGATGCTGGACTACTGCTTTATGTGTACAGGTAGGAACATTTCCTCTTATGGAAAAGCCTAGAAGAGATTCCCTCTGCTTTGAACACCTTCAAACTCTCCGCATCAAATATTGCTCCTGCTTAGCAGTGGTAGCTAATCTAAAGGGGACAGAGAAGGGGCCCAGTGCTTCCCTCCACAGCTGGCAACCCAAGCAGCAAAAGAAAACACATCCTATATCTTTTATAACTTGTCATTTTCCCTCTGGACTATATTTGAGAGCTGCATAAACTCCCGCAGAATTACTTCTGCTCTTAACAGAACAACTGCTGAGTCCCCCCAGAAGTGCCAACAGCCTAAAGATCCAAAGGAACTGCTGGATGATAAATTTTCCAAAGAATATCAAACACCAGGCATGCTGTTGCTGTTACAGATATATTCCTGATCCCCCTTCACTTAGGAGGAAGATGTCCTAAACCCCTTTCTTTTAAATCAAAAAACCTCTGCAACAGCAGAACCGGGGTAAAGCCACTATATAAACTCTTATCTTGTTTCATATCTACATTCTTTAAGTTCAGACCATGTCCAAGCAGTATTTGTCTCCACATAGGCTTTCACATATGGGCTTTTGTGCAAGCACTCAACTCACTGTCTTCTCTTCTGGGTCCCCTGTACAAACTGTGTGCCTCACCACGCCACCCACATCAAGCCTTCCCCACAGAGCACAGCTCTGTGATGAAGGAACACAGGATGCTGTAACTTCCTGCATTTCACTCAGAAACAGCCCAGCTATTCTGGCTTCACTTGCAGTGAGCAATAATTTAAAAAGGAGTTAATTACCACATATGCATTATAGCAAGGCTGGTTTTAAATTTGCATTGTTAATTTTAACTGCCCTTTATATTTTGATGGTTTGCCTTGCAGTCTACATTTTTACTGTAACATATGAAACACGGCTCTTCACTAAGTCCCATTAGCTTCACCAGAGCCAGAAATGGATAATTCCAGTTACCAACCAACCAACCAGACTGCAAGTTCAGCCCTCCTGCTCTAACTCAGCCCAGGTGAATAGAGACCAAGACCTAAGCAGTGGTAGATTGTGTTCTGTCAGAAATAACCCGGCTGTTCCAGTTAGCTTGGAGCTCAAGTTCAGATATCAGCAACTATGTTTTTTTGGAAAGAGGTCAACAAGTGAATGGGAATGCAGAGTAAACTACCATAGCTCCCTCACCCTTCGTAGTGGTGCATCCAGGTAAAGGGTGAGACACACGGCTGGGGCTGGGGCTGGGGGATGTAGGATGGGGATTACTCTGCTGCCACCCATGTTCTGTGGATAAAAAAGCATTCCAGTCACTGCAAGTGTCAATTCAGTATATTCTGCAATCCATAAAGTCTTTCTTTTCTTTTAAAAATGATCTATTACTTAAAAGAAGTTTGCTAAAGCATCACTAATAATCTTTTATGAATATTCCATTAATGGCATTATAAAAAGTGTCTTATCCAGGCCAATAAACTTTGGTACACAAATATAGCATTTTACTTATATATCTTTTCCTCATGAATTAGCTTGCAGGGAACTTTTTTCTTTGCTTTGCTTTCAGGGCTTTAGTGAAGAGATTTTTTTTCTTCAAATCTATATATTCTGTAGAGAACTCTTGGATAAAACACCTTGCATTCCAGATGCCCATGTTTCATTTTACATAATTAATGTGGGTTTTTAACTCTGCATTATATCAAATAATTGGGAAAAAAGAATGGAAGATGTAACATACTTACTTTTGTACTTGAAAATATAGGAAAATAATGAAATAAGATCAAATCCTCTCTAATGTCAGTGAGTCTGCTGGTTTTGGTGATCACTGTTTGTGTGCTTTAGGAATGTGTCTGAAGGGTCCTGATGGCCACTAAAGGTATTAGGTGAGAATGAGACCATATTCTGCCTGTCAAATTCTGGCAAGTGACAAGACAGGCAAGGGAGGAGAAGCTTCTGCACATGAGCCTGTCAGCTGCCCCAGGGTAGAATTTGCCCCTAATAACAATATGGCATTCAGTATGGCTGAGATGTTCCTTCTGGCATCTGCAAAATCCAAGATATAAATATTGTTTCTAAAATAAACCAACAGCATTTGGACTGATGGGTACAATTACCCAGATTTCATGTGAAACAAGAAAACCAATTGTGAGCATCGGGTCTTCAGGCTGTGAATAAATTAAAGTAGGCCAAAATGCAAAAGTTTTTATGCTGCACTGAAACTTTTCTGGAAACAGGCTTGATTTTAGCTAAATAAATAATCTCCACAGGCCATTAAAATCTTCCCTTCCTTTGAGAGTATATCTTTACTTCTGAAACAAATATGATTATGCAAAAAATCCCCTGTCTTCTGTATAAAGAAAACTATGTAACCACATATACTGTGCTTTTCTTTCTCCTTTCATTAACTGCATACATTTCCATGTCTATATTCATTTAAATCAGTTCAAGGAAGGAGGGTTCCCAACCATGCCAAAATTTGACAGTGCTGGATACTGCACTGACCATAATGCAGTAAACCTGACAAATAGTGTTACCTGCTCCAGGAAAAGGGGGAGAGAGGTTTGTCCTTTGCACTTAAGTACAAAACTGCCACCTTTCAAATTTGAGCATCATGCTCTAGACCAACAAGAGATCATTTTTTTAAAAAAAAAATTTTGACCAAATTGCTCACTTACATGTATTGCTACTTCTTTTAGCTTTGAGATGGGAAAACACATACTTAAAAGATATTTAGGTGTTTTCAATGTTTGGAACATGCATTTTAACATGGCAAGTGAGATGCTTGGTACAAATGCTGACACATCATGACAGCCACAGGAATAATGTTTCTCTGGTGCTAATGGGTGCTCTGAGATTTATATACTACCTGGACTTAGCTAATCCTCTGGAAAAGAAAGAAAAAATAAAAAAAATAGCTTTTCAGTTCTTAAGAACAACTACCCAATTCCCAGTTCATTTAAGCAGTGACCTTAATCAACATGTACTTTACATCAAGCACATAACTAAGAAGGATTGACTTTTGAATCAAGCCCTGGATTTTGTCATCAATGTTCTGTTGCACACAAGATACTTTCATGTGCATTTTATTTTCTGTTCTAAATGCAGAGAATTTTCTTTTCCACCCCCAGCAACAGCCCAGCGGCATAGTAGATGTCAGATTTGATTTATCTCTGGTTCTGATTATTTACTACTGAAACAATGCTTTTTAGTTACTACAACTCAGCAGAGAAAAGTACTAAGCTATATTCTATAATGTACCATAAAAACACAAAAGACCATTTTTCCAGAAGATACAGTGGGAATAAAGCTTCTTTGTCTTTCTGCACTATTATAACCATATTATCTACCTGAAAACACTAAAGATAATGCATGACATCACCACTAAAGTCAGAATATTTAATTTTGCAAGAGTTCTTATAATTATGTGTTGTGTTAAGGCCTATTAAATAACTCCCAAATTGCTCCTGATGTATGTCAATCTTACAGCACAGAGCATATTCCCTAAGAATATTTCCAAATTCTCTGTCAACAGTTTGTTCTAATTACATACATGTTGTAGTACCAAATTCACATTCTTTGCAATTCACTATAAGTGAATAATTTTGGTATCATCCCTAGCAAACTCCTATTTATTTCCTTTCTTAAATTATCTTTTCATAAAAATTGGTTATGTGTTTGTATGCAACAGTAATTTCTTCTCCACAATCTAATTTTCTTTTTTTTTCCATTTGTTTTTGTTTTTTTGTTTTTCAAAATTCATCATTTTTATTGCATTCTTACAAAATCAGCAGTACACATTCCTTTCAGCTGACAAGCCTGAAAATGAAAATTTCAGTTTGAGGGTTAACTAATGCAGAACACACTAAAGGCCAGCTACAATGTGACTTAAAATTTTCAGAGCCCTGGGGAGAAGAGGAGGGATATGAACCATTCCTCCTAAATTGCTCATAAGTGCCTCAGTTCCCTATAGACTGAAGGGAGAAGCAGACATGTAGATCACCATTTGGTGGCCTTCAGAGGTGTCTAAATTATTCATGCAGGATTTGGCCTGAAATAATTAAATTTACTTGTTCTTACAGGAGGTAACATGCATTACAGCATTACATCAGCATCACACTATGAATTCCTATCCAAGTTATCTTTGCCATGATGTTTCTTACAACGCTCCTCTCTCCTAGCAAGGATTAGCTGACATTAGGACCCGACAATTATGTTCTCACACTTTTCCTGAATGTCTTATTTTCAATTTCTAAAGCACACTGCTTGTCATGAGCAGCACACACTCTGATTTCAGAGTTTCCCAGTCTACCAAGCCAACACACTTAAGTGTTTCAAAGGCTTCTCACAAGCCTTTCAAAACCTCTTTTTCAAAATCACATATTGGTTTGTTTCTATCCATAAATGAAGTTTGCCCATCACCATTCTTTGTCACTTAAGACTACCAGAATGGAATGATTTATACCCATATTATTAAAATTTCTCAGCCATATCAAGCAATCTATGTGGGCCACAGCATGTGAGCATATTCAATCATTTTTCAGGAGTGGTCCCGGGCATCATGTCCCAGACTTGTTAGGGAAAAAAGCTGGCTGACACAGGCTAAAGGCAGGCCAGAGTGTGAGAGTACAGACCATGACACTCCAGTGGTGGAGAGGACCCTGTTTAATTCATTAGAGTAGCCATAAAGAAGCATGGAAGTACAAAGCACATAGTCCTTTATCTCAAGTGGAGCACGAAGAAAGTTATTACTGCCTCTCCTTTGTAAGTTAGAACTTTTTTAGATCTCAGTTCCTATCAATACGCACAGCTGTGTGCAGCTCCATTCAATTGTCATCTAAATTCCAATTGAGCATAGATGGATGTTAAATTAAAGCCCAAACAGTCAACTAAAAAAGTCACAAAGTGACAGACTTTTACTCTGACAAAAGATGAATTCAAAATATCAGCATCTATAAAATTCCTTATGAATAAAGAAAGGTTGCGTTCAAGCAGTTTCATAATGGATCTTTTTCCAGGGCTGAATGCAGCCGTGATGCTGAAGGTGAAAAGATAAAGTCAGAAGACTCAGCTCACTTGCAAAAACAGGAGTCTGTCATCCCCGTACTTCTTTAGGGGAATCTACTCTGCATCCTTTATTTTTCCTTTCTAATACACATTACTTCTGATGACCTGTAAAAATGTCATGTAAAATAACACCCTTTTCACATATGAAATAGGTTCATGTGTATGAAAAAAATACAGATTTACTCTTGCAACTCATACAGGCATGTGATTTTTCAGGCAGAATTTAGGAACCAAGTTCTGAAAATTTGCTTCTCCATGTCTAACTGCATTTTCTTCAGCCAATAAAGACCACTATCCTAACAAAGAAAGAAGTCAAATTACCTCAGAAGAGTTTGGATTTTCAGTGAATCCACATCATATTTAGTTCTTCCAACATTTCATTAGGTATTGAAGTTAAAAATTATATTCTTAATGTATCTCCTACTTCCTCTCCAAAACGGTACCCAGTACCTAATTTTTTACTTTTCTGACCTCACCATACTATGTTTCTAAAGCAAATACATTCACAGCTACTTCCCAGCAGCAGTCATCAGACTACTAGCATGGAAATGTGGATTCTCAGTGGTTAATGCACAAATAAAGCTGTTTACAGGCTTGCCAGACAAACAGCAACACTGATCCCTACAGCGTGCTTGTCCAAACGTGATAAACAGATGCACTTCCCTCTCTTACTATTTGTTGCATTCCTTAAATGGTTTCCCCTATTTTTCCCACTTAGGGCAAGGCAAGAAAAAGTGAGAAAAAGGGAAGGGAACCCTCTAAAATTAAAGCAGTGGAAATGACCGTGGCAAATCACAGTTATTGTGTACAGCAAAAGACACAAAGCAAGTATAATTGCTTCTGCTCTGCAGGACAAGGAGTTCTTTGGACGGAGGCACGCAGAGAGGAAAAGATTTGCTGCACATGGACCCAGGATCAGGCACACATTCAGTTCTCCAGCTCCTGACTGTCACAGGAAGGAGGTTTGTACATTGAAGAATAGCATTTATTTATAATGAATAGAATTTTGCCTATCAAAAATAAATAACTTCAGTGCCTTTGAAAATTTTAACTGCAAACATCTCCATACTTCCCAGAGAGACTCGTGTTCCTAAGTGGCTAAATTACTTTTGTTATAGGATTTAAATTTATGAGACAAGAGGCATTTTGAAATTTTAAAGCAGCAGAGCACAATAATCTTAAAAATTACTCCAAAGTTTCAAGCAATCTTCTGGGTTTTTTGGTCTTCT